AGTCTAGTCTATAGTCTAGTCTATAGTCTAGTCTATAGTCTAGTCTATAGTCTAGTCTATAGTCTAGTCTATAGTCTAGTCTATAGTCTAGTCTATAGTCTAGTCTATAGTCTAGTCTATAGTCTAGTCTATAGTCTAGTCTATAGTCTAGTTCTATAGTCTAGTCTATAGTCTAGTCTATAGTCTAGTCTATAGTCTAGTCTATAGTCTAGTCTATAGTCTAGTCTATAGTCTAGTCTATAGTCGAGTCTATAGTCTAGTCTATAGTCTATCTATAGTCTAGTCTATAGTCTAGTCTATATCTAGTCTATAGTCTAGTCTATAGTCTAGTCTATAGTCTAGTCTATAGTCTAGTTCTAGTCTATGTCTCGTCTATAGCCTAGTCTATAGTCTAGTCTATAGTCTAGTCTATAGTCTAGTCTATAGTCTAGTCTATGTCTAGTCTATAGTCTAGTCATAGTCTAGTCTATAGTCAGTCTATAGTCTAGTCTATAGTCTAGTCTATAGTCTAGTCTATAGTCTAGCTATAGTCTAGTCTATAGTCTAGTCTATAGTATAGTTCTATAGTCTAGTCTATAGTCTAGTCTATAGTCTAGTCTATAGTCCTAGTTATAGTCTAGTCTATAGTCTAGTCTATAGTCTAGTCTATAGTCTAGTCCTTAGTCTAGTCTATAGTCTAGTCTTAGTCTAGTCTATAGTCTAGTCTAAAGTCTAGTCTATAGTCTAGTCTATAGTCTAGTCTATAGTCTAGTCTATAATCTAGTCTTTAATCTAGTCTAGCATAGTGAAGTATATAGTCTAGTCTATAGTGAAGTCTATAGTCTAGTCTAGTCTATAGTCTAGTCTAGTCTATAGTCTAGTCTATAGTCCAGTCTATAGTCTAGTCTAAAATCTAGTCTATAGTCTGGTCTATAGTTTAGTCTACAGTCTAAGTTCTAGTCAATAGCATAGTTTATAATCTTGTCTATAGTTTAGTACATAGATTTGTCTATAGATTAGTCTATAATATAGTCTATAATCTAACTTATCTTGCACAGGCCTTCTAAAATAATAATTATTACCCATTCCGATTACAATAAAAATCATATTTGCAAAAAGATTATGCAAATTGTTTAACATGTTAATCATTTGTAAATTATTTTTAGAACCGGTCAACTGGAATGTCATAAAAATGTACATTTATCAAAATGTATTCGTAATAAAAGTAACTACAATAATCGTAAATATCATTAAAACAAACATAAGATATTGTAAACTTAAAATAACCCAGCAAAACCAAAAAACAAAAAAAAAAATTACTAACATCTTTCATTGCTGTTGCAATTAGCCATTAATCCTTCTCGGTATAGTTTAGAGCAACCTTTGATTACTTTGGTCATAGGCAACTAATATAGCAAATATTTTTAAAACTTTTTTATGTGTATGTTTGCTGGGTATTTCCTAAGTACGAACTTCTCAGTATGAACGAGTATCGTTAAAATGTCGCTTCATTTGATTTAAGTCCACTTCATGTAATAAAATATAAAATTAACATGATCTTCTTCACACATATAAAGTAACAAGAGGCATTTTTGTTTTCAAAATTATTTTTTATTGTATTCTACTTTGACTTATTTGTATTTGTTTTTTTTATTATTTCTTTCTGAGATAAACTAAAATATGTGGATGACTTTTTGTTAATGAAACTGACTTATTATGGTCTGTAGTTAGAGTTTGTTAGATTTGAGAACTCAGCGTTAAATTGAGAAGATGTAGATGAAATGAATAAGAAGGCGTTATTTTTACGCTCACAATTATAAATGTATTGGAATTTGTATTTTGAGTTACGACTACAGGTACTCAATGAAATGAAACATGAGTAAGGAAAAAAGTGTTTTTATAATGTTCATACACATATTTATAGCATATATATGACATATAGTAGACTATACTTACTACTTAACTATAGAATTGATTATTGACTAGAATGTAGACTTGACTATAGACTAGATAGATTATCGACTAGAATATAGACAAGACTATATACTATAGACTTGACTGTAGACTAGATTATAGACAAGACTATATAATAGACTATAGACTAGACTATGGAATTGACTATAGACTTGACTATAGACTAGACTATGGACTACATAGATTATCGACTAGACTATAGCCAAGACTATATACTATAGACTAGACTATAGTCTTGACTATAGACTAGACTATATACTAGACTTGACTATAGACTAGACTATAGACTAGTCTATAGACTAGACTATAGAGTAGACTGTAGACTACACTATAGATAAGACTATAGACTCGACTGTTGATTCTATAAATCTTGTAGTAAACACTGTACTAGAGACTAGACTATAGAATAGACTATAGACTAGACTATAGACTAGACTATAGACTAGACTAGACTATAGACTAGACTATAGACTAGACTATAGACTAGACTATAGACTAGACTATAGACTAGACTATAGACTAGACTATAGACTAGACTATAGACTAGACTATAGACTAGACTATAGACTAGACTATAGACTAGACTATAGACTAGACTATAGACTAGACTAGACTAGACTATAGACTAGACTATAGACTAGACTATAGACTAGACTATAGACTAGACTATAGACTAGACTATAGACTAGACTATAGACTAGACTATAGACTAGACTATAGACTAGACTATAGACTAGACTATAGACTAGACTATAGACTAGACTATAGACTAGACTATAGACTAGACTATAGACTAGACTATAGACTAGACTATAGACTAGACTATAGACTAGACTATAGACTAGACTATAGACTAGACTATAGACTAGACTATAGACTAGACTATAGACTAGACTATAGACTAGACTATAGACTAGACTATAGACTAGACTATAGACTAGACTATAGACTAGACTATAGACTAGACTATAGACTAGACTATAGACTAGACTATAGACTAGACTATAGACTAGACTAGACTATAGACTAGACTATAGACTAGACTATAGACTAGACTATAGACTAGACTATAGACTAGACTATAGACTAGACTATAGACTAGACTATAGACTAGACTATAGACTAGACTATAGGACTAGACTATAGACTAGACTATAGACTAGACTATAGACTAGACTATAGACTAGACTATAGACTAGACTATAGACTAGACTATAGACTAGACTATAGACTAGACTATAGACTAGACTATAGACTAGACTATAGACTAGACTATAGACTAGACTATAGGACTAGACTATAGACTAGACTATAGACTAGACTATAGACTAGACTATAGACTAGACTATAGACTAGACTATAGACTAGACTATAGACTAGACTATAGACTAGACTATAGACTAGACTATAGACTAGACTATAGACTAGACTAGACTAGACTATAGACTAACTAGGACTAGACTATAGACTAGACTATAGACTAGACTATAGACTAGACTATAGACTAGACTATAGACTAGACTATAGACTAGACTATAGACTAGACTATAGACTAGACTATAGACTAGACTATAGACTAGACTATAGACTAGACTATAGACTAGACTATAGACTAGACTATAGACTAGACTATAGACTAGACTATAGACTAGACTATGACTACTATAGACTAGACTATAGACTAGACTATAGACTAGACTATAGACTAGACTATAGACTAGACTATAGACTAGACTATGACTAGACTATAGACTAGACTATAGACTAGACTATAGACTAGACTATAGACTAGACTATAGACTAGACTATAGACTAGACTATAGACTAGACTATAGACTAGACTATAGACTAGACTATAGACTAGACTATAGACTAGACTATAGACTAGACTATAGACTAGACTATAGACTAGACTATAGACTAGACTATAGACTAGACTATAGACTAGACTATAGACTAGACTATAGACTAGACTATAGACTAGACTATAGACTAGACTATAGACTAGACTATAGACTAGACTATAGACTAGACTATAGACTATAGACTATAGACTAGACTATAGACTAGACTATAGACTAGACTATAGACTAGACTATAGCTAGGACTATAGACTAGACTATAGACTAGACTAGACATGACTAGATTATAGACTATATTATAGACTAGACTATAGACTAGACTATAGACTAGACTATAGACTAGGACTATAGACTAGACTATAGACTAGACTATAGACAGACTATAGACTAGACTAAGACTAGACTATAGACTAGACTATAGACTAGACTATAGACTAGACTATAGACTAGAATATAGACTAGAATATAGACTCGACTACAGACTCGACTATAGACTAGACTATAGACTATACTATAGACTAGGCTATAGACTATATTCTAAATATATTCCTGATTCTAGTCGTAAATATATTCTTCATTATAATCTAGTCTACAATTTTTAATATAGTCTGTTTTATAGCTTCGGCTATAGACAAAATTTTAATTTTGTAAAAAATGTTAAGTTTGTCAAAAACAAATATTTGATTGTTAACGACCTTCTATGATTACATAATTTTTAAAATTAATAGTTCAGTTTTCTATGAATCAATAAAACAAAAACTGTCATTTTGTTAACAGTTTAAAAGTGTGACTGTGTTTTGTTCAAAATAACCATAAAATCCGAATAGTTGCTTTTCAAATGTAAATTTGTCTATAAAATTCGCTTTATTTAATTCAATTGTATTTTATTTTAATTAATCATTTTCTAAATGTTGTTTATTTTTTTCAAAATTTTTAAAGTTTATTCAATTTTGAAGAAATTTAAATATTTTAAACAGCTGTGTTGTGATGATTAGAGAAATAATAACTGTAATGGCTATAAATATTGAAAAATACCTTTTTCGGTTGATTGTCACATGATTATCGAACATTTAAAACTGTTTGAAAAGATTTACTTTAAAGAATTTTATTTGTATTTATCAAGTATAGGGTATACAATTTATTTAATTGCTTTTGCCAACTCTTTGTACCAAACACAAAACTTACTTGGATTTCAATGTTGTCTGGTTGGAGAAGCGAAAATTCCTTGAATATTTGAAAACTTGTTTGGGCCAACTTAAAAAAAAAAAAAACACTCAAACACACAGTATTTTGTTTCTTTTAGCAGCAACAATATATTTTTTGTTAAGAAAAAAAATTTTGTCAAAAATTTTTTTTTATATAATTTTAGCAAAAATTTTGTTTATTACTTTCATTTCAACAATAGTAAATATAAAATTTTCTCTTTTGTAAATTTTGCTGAATTTTAGCTTTTTAAACTCTTTGTATTTTGCTTATGTTTTATTTACTTTATTTATTTTTTTCGTTAATTTTTATTGTTTTAAAACAAATTTTCTATAAGATTTTGTTTAATACACTCACGTAATACGTTTAAAATTAGCAACAAAACCACTACAACAGCAGCAACAATAACACAAAATTAATCCTCTTTTAAGCAAAAAACAAACTAAAGCTGAAAAAAATACAATTTAGCAACAACAATTCTAATAATATTAATAAATAGAAATTCACGAAAACAAAGCAATAGCAACAAATTTAACAAAACGCATTAAAAATTTATTAAAAAAAGACTTTTGGCAAAAATTTTATTAATTTTTTATTAAACTAAAATTGATATTTTTGCTGTTTTTCTATAATTCACTTTAATTTTTTTTTTATATTTTTTTACTTATTTTAAACTCGTATTTGTGTTATTGTAGTTTCTTTATTTATATTGTTATATTTATTTTTTATTAACAAAAAACCAGATTTTGCAAAAACAATACAATTTTTTTTTTATATTTTAGACCCACAAAAAATATCGAAAAAAAAATCTATTAAATTTAACGCGTTTTAGTTTTCTTCTTCTCAGTTGCTTTATTTCATTTATTTAAAACAATTCTCACGTTTTCTCTCTCACTTTTAAACGTAAAACCGTGTGCTTACACTTCGAGTTCAGTTAGCATACTAACTGGGCTTAAATGTTTATTCCATACAAGTTGGTGATGATGTTATTTTTTGTTTTCATTAAATCTTGGCTTAATCACGGAGGGTTTAATGTATGCGTGTAGGTTTGTGTGAGAATTCAGCTAAGAGTATAATGTCTAATACTCAGAGATCAGTTGTTTTGGCTGTGTTTGTGAATGAATTTTAGCTTATTGTGATTGCTTAGTTTGTTTTGTTAGGTAAATCCAGTTTTGAGAGTTGGGGTTTAGTGAGCATGCCTTGAATTTCTCTTGAACACAATTTTATATCCGTTAGGTTTTTGTCTTCGCTTTAATTGAAGATCTGTGTGGATTCAAAGGGGATTTTTGGCAAGTTTTAAGGGAGGAAATATAAAAAATAATATTTGTATTTTTTTTACTAAATTTTACTAAATTATAAAATAACGTTTAAACATTTATATTTTTTTATTTTCAGAACAATTCAACTATGCACATGTAAGTAAAACAAGATAGAATAATAACGATGTTAATTATGGATCTCAGCAGGCAAGTAAAAGGCGGTACTTTAGTACATTTTTCAGTACTTTTAATATCCACCATCAAAAAGATGGGAGGTATATTGATTTTGTCATTCCGTTTGTAACACATCGAAATATAGGTCATAGACCCACAAAAGTATATATATATTCTCGGTCCTTATTAAATTCTAAGACGATCTAGCCATGTCCGTCCGTCCGTCTGTCTGTTGAAAGCGCGATAGAGTCCGAACGGAATGAACTAGAGGGTTGAAATTTTCCACAAATATTCTCTATAGATAAGGTTTGTTTGGTATTGAAAATGGACAATATGGGTCCACGTTTTCGGGTAGCCTCCATACAAGTGGACCCCCGAAAAACAGCTTTAACGGGTATATCTGTTTTAAGAGTACGAGTATAGCGATGAAATTCATAAATTCATAAATAAATAAGTTTCATATAAGCCAAAATCTTCTTACCAAATTTTATGAGGATCGGTCCATAGTTGACCCTACCCCCTTATAAGGTCCCCTTCAAAAAATTACTTTAACGCTTAAAAATACGAATACAGCGATGAAATTTGACATAAGTAAGTCCCTCACGTGCCAAAATCTCTCTAACAAATTTTATGTGGATGGGTCCATAATTGACCCTACCCCCCATATAAGATCCCCTTCAAAAAATTACTTCAACGCTTAAAAATACGACTATAGCGATTCGACATAAATAAGATCCATGCGAGCCAAAATTTGTCTATCAAATGACCCTACACCTGATATAAGGTCCCCATCAAAAAAAAAACGACTTTAACGCTCATTACTGGCTTAAAAATACGAGCATAGCAATGAGATTTGACATAAGTAAAACTCTTACGACCAAAATCCTTCCTAGCTAGTCTATAGTCTATTCTATAGTCGTATAAGTCTAGTCTATAGTCTAGTCTATAGTCTAGTCTATAGTCTAGTCTATAGTATAGTCTATAGTATAGTCTATAGTCTAGTCATAGTCTAGTCTATAGTCTAGTCTATAGTCTATAGTATAGTCTAGTCTATAGTCTAGTCTATAGTCTAGTCTATAGTCTAGTCTATAGTCTAGTCTATAGTCTAGTCTATAGTCTAGTCTATAGTCTAGTCTATAGTCTAGTCTATAGTCTAGTCTATAGTCTAGTCTATAGTCTAGTCTATAGTCTAGTCTATAGTCTAGTCTAGTCTAGTCTATAGTCTAGTCTATAGTCTAGTCTAGTCTTAGTAGTCTATAGTCTAGTCTATAGTCTAGTCTATAGTCTAGTCTATAGTCTAGTCTATAGTCTAGTCTATAGTCTAGTCTATAGTCTAGTCTATAGTCTAGTCATAGTCTAGTCTATAGTCTAGTCTATAGTCTAGTATATAGTCTAGTCTATAGTCTAGTCTATAGTTCTATAGTCTAGTCTATAGTCTAGTCTATAGTCTAGTCTATTAGTCTAGTCTATGTCTAGTCTATAGTCTAGTCTATAGTCTAGTCTCTAGTCTAGTATAGTCTAGTCTTATAGTCTAGTCTATAGTCTAGTCTATAGTCTAGTCTATAGTCTAGTCTATAGTCTAGTCTATAGTCTAGTCTATAGTCTAGTCTATAGTCTAGTCTATAGTCTAGTCTATAGTCTAGTCTATAGTCTAGTCTATAGTCTAGTCTATAGTCTAGTCTATAGTCTAGTCTATAGTCTAGTCTATAGTCTAGTCTATAGTCTAGTCTATAGTCTAGTCTATAGTCTAGTCTATAGTCTAGTCTATAGTCTAGCTATAGTCTATAGTCTAGTATGTCTAGTCTATAGTCTAGTCTATAGTCTAGTCTATAGTCTAGTCTATAGTCTAGTCTATAGTCTAGTCTATAGTCTAGTCTATAGTCTAGTCTATAGTCTAGTCTATAGTCTAGTCTATAGTCTATAGTCTAGTCTATAGTCTAGTCTATAGTCTAGTCTATAGTCTAGTCTATAGTCTAGTCTATAGTCTAGTCTATAGCT